TTTAAAAAAAGTATCAACATAACTTAATAAAAAACAACTATGAGGATATGAATAAAGCCAACACGGGTACATTTCACCTATACAGAATTCCCTTATGGTATATATGCATACAATGGACACCATCTCCATTGAAATTGATGGAGGCGCTAACCTGTTTGTGAACCCTGTACAGCAGGAACACTGATCTTTAACAGCCCACAGAGACGAGTCAAACAGTGGGCGACTCAGATTCACCACATCCTTTTGTTGTCGGGTTGAGCGAATGTCAAGGCCAGCTCAATAAGTCTTTATCTTGGCTCTTGTGTGTGTGTGTCTGTGTGTGTGTGTGTGTGTGTGTGTGTGTGTGTGTGTGTGTGTGTGAGCCAGCCAGTGTATATGAATAAAAGAGAGAGGAGAAATAATGACTACGTGCACATTCCTGTGTGAATGCCCACTGGTAAATGTGTGCATGTATGAATGTGTGTGTGCTTGCAAAACAGTACAGTGCATGTGCTGTTTGCAGCAGTCTGGAAAGTCCATTTGTGCGGCGGTCAGGATGCCAGTGTCTCACACAGGGAGGCCGCCTGTCTCGCCCTCTCCACTCCACTCAGCTCTGTCGCTCAGTGACTGACCCTTAATCAGAGGAAGGTTGTCTGATGCGAGCACAGACGGATAAATCACTCCTCACCCCGGGCTGCTATCTGGGCCGCGTGTAGCCAGGTTGTCCCGTCAGCGGACTGGCTCTCCGCCCGGGCCCTCCAAAGCTAACAGCCATGTGGTATTGAGCCCTTTGGTGAGGAGGACCCTGCCTGCCTCTGCCCCCTGGAGAATAATAGTCCACATTCTGTGCATATCTGTATTTAATAGCTGTTCAGAGGCTTGCTTGTTGATATACTGTATCATCACAATCTGCTGACATTCAAAAGACACCGACTTGCATTGTTTTTTGTTTGTAGTATGCCACTTTGTTTCCTTCATATGTTTATTTTTTAATTTCACATTGTCCTGTTCCTGTAGCCTTCATGATGTTGTAATGTAATGTTTTTTTTTTTTATTATTATCTGTGTTTTTATTGTCAATACTAAAATATACTGGATATATACTGATAAATGTTTTGGGTGATTTTAGTAACTATACTACTATATAATAAATGTAGTGGAGACAACAAAGTACAACAGGCTATATTTCCCTCTATAGTGGAGTAAAAGGTAGCATAAAATATTATATATATAAATACATATATAAGTATTCTCTTAAAACTTAAAAAGATCTGTGTATATGTATGCCAGTTAGTTGAGGCTAACAGTTAGCTAATGTTAGTTAATTACTTAACCAACTAATGTTTTAACAGTAGACATTTTCAACCTCTCTTATTATTGAAATATGGGAAGTCAGATAATAAATAAACAAGTCTACAGTTTTATAAATAAAAAATCTATTAAAAAAAAGTTATATTTATTCAAGAAATGGTTATATAATGTACAATTACTCTAAATTATTGTTAATTCCTGCTAACACTTCTTAAAAACATAGAACTAAGCAACATATTTTATGGTTAATTCATATTACATTCAAAACTGTTCAATTAACCCAAACAGTGAACTCAGTAACTGCAAGAAGTTTATGTAAAACAAGTGATTTGGATGAATTTTGAGCAGCTTATTTTCCTGTTTAGGGAACTTTTTATGTTCTTTGTCTGTATGATGTATTCTTTTTTATAATTTTTAACAATCATACAGATTTAATATGCTTCTTTTCTTGACAAATTCAGTGTTTTCTTGTCCCTGATGCTTGGCCATTGTTCTATTAGACGTTTTTCATGAACCTTTCTACACATAAGTGAACCAAATGCTGAGATATAGGTCTGTATATGTTCTGTATTGTTGTCTTACACCCCTTTAAAGGCTGGGAGGCGCTGTTATATGTAAGCTGTAAACCTTTTCTTTGTATCTGTATTGTTCTTATTTCTTAGATTGCAGAGAAATTGTACTTTTTTTTAAGGATACTTATATAACGTATATAGGAATACTTTATCTTAAAGTACCCCAATACTTCAAAACATGCTCAGGTACTTTCCACCGCTGGCAATAACCAACACTTTTTTTAATGTTTGCCATCGAACAATTAAAGCAGATGCCGTTGAGAGAAGAAAGAGACTAAGAAAGCGAAAATAATGTGCAAACAATCAGCCCAAGCCCCTGATCGTAATTACCAAAGAATTGTGGTCAGTTTGAGTGCAACCTAATTGAATAATGGTCATATCAGTGAACAAGTGGGAGTGTGGAGTGATTTACCGCACAGAGAAGCGTGCTTATCTTTCCCTCTGTCCCATGCAGGAAACACTGGGATGTCACCAGGCAGATTAAAAGCTTGGCACAGCTGATACGGAGCGCTCAAAATGGATGGGGTGGGGACCTCTGACTGCTGTGTGAGGGGTTTTGTAGGGGAGGAGACAGGCGGTGGTGTGACCTTATGAGTCCTGTTTGGCAGGGATTCATTCAAAATCTGGGAATTCCACTGGAAGTTAGGAGGGGAAAAAAGATGTAACATCATGTAACTTGAATGGAATTTTGAATAGTAAGCATATCTTTGGCTCGGCGTCTGCCAAGCCATGTTTTTTTTTTTTTTTGAGCTCACATTAAACTTGCCCTCAAAGGAAAACTGGAATTGACCAACATTCCTCTATATGTTTAGGAATTCTGTAAGAATGGAGGGTTTTTTTGGGTGCAAGAAAAGTAAAAAAAAAAGAGATAATATATGCAGGATCAGCTGCCTTGCTTTTTAATCAGAGTGAATGTTTAAAAGAACTGCTGTTGTTCACAGTGCAGCTGTATCGCTCATAATTGAATTCCTGACAGCTGCAATGTTTGGAATTTTAACCAGTTCTTACGAGGGCCCACTAAAACGAGCCGGGCGTTTTAGCTACGGAGGCTAAACGTGGCACAACATCAGAGCAAACCTGCTGTCATTTTCTATGTAGCCACCAATGTATTTCTGCCCTTTTAAGCCGGGCGCTGACTGGGGCTAGCTAGAGAGACTCTTTGCCTCTCGAATTGAGGCAATATATGCAGACTGAAGAGAGGTGCTTGATGGGAACACAGGCAGACAGATCTGGAGGAGCAGCTGCACGGAGGACGCTGGGCCAAATATAGAAAGGGGACAAGGGCCAAAACATATCACACATTTTTTCCCATTAACAGCATAGGTTTGAATCTAACTTGGCGCCAATTAGTTGCACTATAGGCGCAAAGGATTTAAAAATAGAGCATGGCAGGGGTGACAATACACCCGGAACGCAGAGACAGATATCTCTGTCATGGTGGCGTGTGATTTCACGTGTAATCATGTGAAGGAAAAATAACAGTATTCATATCGCCAGCTGGTTCGTTATAACTCTGTGACGTGGAAGGTTATGTGACAAATGGAGCTTCAGACATTTGTTGCTATTACCTGTCATGCTACTTTGAGTGCGGGGCCTCAGCTCGGGGGGGGCTATTTTCATTCTGATTTTGGTATGTGTGGCAGGATCTGTGCCGCTGTATCAGTGCGACCAGCCGTTTTTTCCTTTCCATTTTTAACAGCTTGGTTTCAACATTTTCTTGTCTCTTATCTCTAGAGTGAAGGGCTGGAATGAGGGGCATGCAGGCTTCGGGCCTACCTGTTTACTCTGAGGGCTTCCTCCATTGTCCCCCAACCCCCCCCCCACCAGTTTCCTTTGAAGGATTTTTCACATTTTTGTGCTCGTTGTTGTTTTGGGAACAGGTCATGAGCTAGGCACATGGGGCATTCCTGAATCTCTGTCTGGTCAGGCTCAGCAGGAATTCTTTCCTACCGCACATATCGTCTCTTTGGTACACACCTGAGATATTTTTACAGCCGTAAACTAAAGAGTATAACAGAGTGTCATCACTTTATCCTTTTATACTGAGCTGAAACCTGATAACTTTTATATATTCCCTTGATTCCCTAACTTCAGCCTCCGGTTTACTGTGGAATGAAGTTATCCGTTGTTGACTTAATCCCTTTCGCTACAGAAATAGCCTCAGTTTTGGTAACTGTTATGCAACTCGTGATATGGTTAAGCATATACATGACCGGCTAATACCCTCAGTAATACAGTTCAACCTAATCTACTGGACTCCACTACCCTTCTAAATGTAATTGTATTTCTAGGACGAGCGTGTGTATTTTTGTCGGCACTGTAAGACTGTCAACATGTGTTTGCTATTAAAGGAATGTTAAGGAATGATATTTTTAAATGTCTTTTTTTATACTAAGATGTACTGTCTGTGGTTAGATCACAGTCTCAATCTCCAAAAACAACTCTCTGATATAACTTCTTTGTCCATCAATCTGATTTCTCATTATTGATAGGTGCTGAGGTAAATGTTCACTCCTCTCAAGCGCCTTCCTCAAAGGGTCCTGCTAATGGAGAGGCCCTTAATCCTTATTATCTAAAGAGGTCCTCAATGAGATTACACACCCTGCACGAATATTACAACTGGACAACAATTTACCATCTGCTGCTCTCATTTTAATTCGTATAACCTTCTGCAGGTGCGGGTTGTGCTCTTATTTAGGCCTTAAAAAAAAAGCTAAACACAAGTACAAAAACATTAAAAGATGCTTTGCTGTACGTTGATATAAAATCACTATAAAAACTAGTGTCAATTAAATGTCCTTTAAGAACACAAAAAGAAGGTTTTGAGAGTGAAATATTTTCATTTTTCACTTGAATCTCATTGTAAGAGTGTTTTTATTTATTTATTCATTTAGTTTTTGCTCTGTACAAATGTGCTTCAGGTCTATTTAACATATAATTAAAGAGTCTCAGGTCCTTATCCCACCTCTTCGCCCTGCTATAACAGCTCTACATCCAACTGTGTGACACACCTTTCTGAAGAGGATTTCCAAGCACTGCACTTGCAGTGGAGATTAACTTTGTGCAAAGATTAAGCAAATTAACCATGATGGAGTCTCCCGAAATAAACTGTTGCTGTCCAGTTAGTTCAACAGCAGTCATCATGTAGAGCACGGAATAACATTTCATGGATCCTTTCAAAGCGGTTGGGAATTTTATGATGCCGACGTAGGTGAGTTCACTTAAAAATCTGGCAATTTTGTTGTGTATGCATTCACTGCGTTGAACTTGTTTACTGCCTCCAGTTATAATCTGTGGTTATGTGTTACACCGGCATTAGAAAGCCCATAAACATACATTTGAACTAGATCTGTTTTATTAACAGTTACTACAAATATTTCATCCTGAATGTGAAATAAATAATAATCTAATGTTTGTATATTGTCAAATAATACCAAAACTGCTACTACTACTAACCACCAATACTAAATAATACATCTGAAATGGCTTTGATCAACTTTTAAAATTTAATATGACATTTTTTTTATCACATTTAATAAAATCTGTTTTAATGAATAATGTTCTATAATTTATCACTTAGATTTTCATGTGAAATTCACAAAAATGTAGCTATTCAATGTCTAAAAAATCTATATTTGAATGTTTTGAGACCAGTTATCTAATACAACAGACGACTTCTGTTTCATAAAGTATATCAATTCAATTCTATGTCAATGTATGCATTTACTATATTAAAAGCTTAATACTGAAGTCTGGTATAAAAGTATTTATATAACCTTATGATTATGATAAAATAAATACTGGGTACAGTAAATACTAGCGACAGAGAATAATCTGTCAAACATTTCTGTATCGCTTTTTTCTGTATCTGTATCATCTGTGTTGTTGAAACTCAGGTAATGCTATTCATGTGGCAGGTTTCCTAGAATCGAGGTCATGTTACCTCATGGCCACAGTCGTACGAAGTAAACAACATATGTTCGTAAGACGTCATTCAGCTGTTTATACATTATACATTACTTAGGTTGTCTTGAACATGTTGTTATGTTTGTGTGTCAACCCAACTGCAGAAACCCTTTTCATTGTATATTTATAAAATTAAAGATTATTGTTTACAGTTAATTGATTCTGAGGAGAAAGCTTTTCTGATAAGGAATAAAAAAAAACGCTTGTTATTTCACCATTTGCTTTGTCATTTATTATACAGAACTTCAACTTCAACTCTGTGTTTCTACTAAATATCTAATTCTTTATCTTTTTCTCCCCTTTCAGCAAATCAACAATGATAAATGAGATGGGCCTTTTGAGGATCCTCCCTGATCAGTCATCAGGGAGTGGACACTCCTGTGGCACCCCACGCCACCCAAGCATCATCGACCCAATTCTATCAAAGCGCGTCTGCTTCTACAAAAGTGGAGACCCTCAGTTCAATGGTCTGCGCATGGTCATCAACAACCGCACCTTTAAAACATTTGATGCGCTCCTGGACAGTCTCTCTAAAAAGGTTCCCCTGCCGTTTGGGGTGAGGAACATTACCACTCCCCGGGGGGTTCATGCAGTCTATACTTTGGATGAACTGGAGGATGGGAAATCCTACATCTGCTCTGACAGCCGTAAGGTAAAACCTATCAACCTGGCCATGGCGAGGAAGAAGCCGCCGCCCTGGTACCATGCCAGGCCTGTTAGCTCCCGCCGTCGGACTGTACAGCAGGCCAGGTTTTTCCCCGGCCAGAACATCCACAAGAACGAACTGGTGGTTGTGCGCACACCGAAGAGGCTACTGGTTTTTCGCAATGGTGACCCTACCGTAAAACACACTGTGGTGGTTCACAAGAGGACTACGCCGACTTTTCAGTCCATCCTGGAATATATTTCAGAGCTGCTGCTGTTTCATGTGGTGAAATTACACACATCTGATGGCAGACGTGTGAGTGTTCTCCTCTGTCAATGCAACATGGAATACAATTAGTTTCCCAAAAAAAACAGGATTTTACAAGCACTATAGAGTGACAAGTTACTAAAAAAAACACTACACAGTAACTTCAAATGCAGAGAAACCAAAGAAAACTGAAAGCATGTTGTAGAGATTAACAAACTGAATGATAGAGCCATTCGAGCCCAAACTGATATCTAAAAGCACACAGCACACTCCATGACCGTATTATTACATCATAGTTTTATATATTAAGACTATATTTGAAAAGATAGGTCGACCATTTTCTATTTTAAAATCCTTCAAGGATACATGGACATTCCCCTAATGTTCAGATACAATGCGAGTGTATATAAGTTTAGGTTTTGGTAGGTGTTAGTTATAAAAGACTGGTTTAAACCTTGTCTGTAAATAACCGTCATGAGGAGAGAAAGTGTTAAGCTCCTTTAGCAACTCACCCTAATACATAGAAAGGCATTCTGGGACACTGTATTGTAAGGCATGTAAATTCAGTTAATTATTTAAAAAGATAATTTAATCTTGTCAGACATATTGGTACATGCATTTCATTTGCAATTATGTATAATTACTCCCTAACATATTTGGATTCTGGGTTTAATTTTTTTTTTTCTATTCTACCTATTATATCTAGTGCTAACACAGTGAAATGTTATTAGAGTGATAAAAACCTTATTTTTTTCTACTCTCTTCTGCAGGTGGATGGTCTTGCAGGCTTGATACTGTGTTCTGGCATCGTAGTGGCTGCAGGCAGGGAACCATTCAGGTCTGCAAACTACAATGCACAGAAATCACCAGCTCCAACATTGTTGCCTACCAAACGAATGGGTCGCAGAAAACTAAACCGTAAGTTTATATAAGAATAATTTTTTTGATGGATCTCTATACAATCCTTTTGTTTTATTTAGTTGATGAGAACATTCTCATTAATGGACCCGTAACTGTATGACACATACGGTGTGTAGTAATCTACCTGCTCTCATGGGATGAAGATTGGGAAAGTGCTGAGGCAGTGATATTATGCATAATACCGTGGATGACCTACATGCACTGTCTATGTGGCTGTCAACTATTCTTCATGAGTTGTAAATAGTTCTACTATCTTTCTAACTTTTGTTTTTTCTCTTTATTATCCTTTCATGCTTCCTGGATTTCCTCTTCAATCCTTGCCTGAAATATTTGGACATTTTGTACTTACATCTCTACCCTTTTTATACCTGAATGGCTCTTTTAACCTACTGAAAAGGTAAAAAGAAGTCTCTATCATACACTTCGAGGTCAAGAAAATTCTCCCCGTCATCTGAGAGGTACATCGTGAATCAGATCCATGACTCCATTGCAGAGAGTTCATGCGACCTACCCAGTAACCCCACAAACTCTATTGAATTGGAGTTGGGTCATAAATTAAAGTCAGTAGCAGAAACTGAGGGTGACACCTGCCCTGATGATGGAGCTGGAGGGCAGGACAGCTTGCTGCCCACAGACGACGACATTGAGAAGTCCTTTCGAGTAAACCAAGATGGTAGCATGACAGTGGAGATGAGGGTGCGGCTTACAATTAAAGGAAGAGGAAACCATCCATTGGACGACCACCCTGACACGCTCAAGTGTAGCCAATCAGCTTAATGCGAGCTGTTTACCGGAGTCTGAGGCAGAACAGGAGATCGGCTCTCTAAAATCAGACTCACTGGATTTACAAAGTCCTGCTGCCTCCATCGACACCATCAACAAGGATAAAACTGAAGATAACAATGACGAAGATCCACCATCACTGGGCAACGGAGCTTTCAGTGAGAGTAACAATGAAGAAGATTATGTCAAAGCTCAGACGGACGTGACATCCCCTAGTAGAGCTCCTACACCAGGGCACAAGCAAATTAGAAAAAAACAAGCCTCTATGGAGAGCATAAAATCAGTGATGGCAGAGGGGATTCAAGAAGGTATGTTTGATTCTTACTCCTACAGACAACAGACAGAACATGGAGCCATGACAGAGAAGTATTGCATGGTCAAACAGAGTAGCACTAAACCAGTGCCCAAACCTAGACAATTTTGCTCTGTGGATTCCTACAATGTAAACAGCAGAAATGTATCCACATTCAAATCTGAGATGACTGAAATGCTACAGATTGAATCCAGCGGAGAGGAGGTCACTGAAACTGTCCTACACATATATGAACAGCAGACCTGCCAGGATAATTTCTTTGCAAACCTTTGTGCACAGGGTATGTCTGCTCCCGGGGTTCCGTTTTGCAGGCCAGCTACCTCAGGAACTGGACAGTTCTCCAATAATGAGTTTGAACCCGAGCTCTGGAGACCATCAACAGCTTCTGAATCAATAAGCATCTGGAGGGCTGAGAGCATGTCAGTAACATCTGATTTAACATTGCCCTCACTGAAGACTGGTGCAGTTCAAGCAACAAAAGCTCAGCAACGATTCCCAAAGCCCACTAAAGGCAAAGACAAGACCCACCAAAGAGAGGTCAATATCGATAAGAGAATATCCTCGAAACCCAAAGTGATCAACAAACGCCTTCATCGGGTTAAGTCACCAGGGAAAAGACAAAAAGAAAATTCTTCAGAAGCAACCGAGAACCGTAAGAAAGCAAAAACTTTCTCCAGTGCTGGGTTCATTAAGAAAATTTATGGGAATAAGTCTATATCAGCAAAAAGCACGATGAAGCTTAGAAAGGGACCAACACAAAATGCATATGGGGATGTTACGACAAAGAACTCACAACAGTGGGATAATACAATAAAATGTATTCTCAAAGACCCAGATATACCATCAGCACAGAAAGAAAATACAAATGAGATGGTTTCTGAATGTTGCGGGCTGAATGTTGCCCCCAATGAATTAAGCCAACCACGGGCAATACTGACACGTCAGACATCAGTGCATCAGGAGAAAAAGAACAAAAACGAGTCCTATGATGTGAATGAAAGCATGTCACTGCCTCCTTTTAACTCGTCTAGCTCTGTTACTAATGAATATGTGGAAAACTGGCTAGAGAAAGCCCATCTTAACCCCACAGCCTTGCCAGAGGAGGACAGTAAAAAATCTGAAGCAGTTAATCTTGTACAGACAGGAAATGGCAGGCGTGGAAAGTCTGAAAATGAGGATGGCTTGATGATTGTGGCAGAGAAGGTAAAGTGTTCGGAGGAAACATCAGAAATACAAACATGTCAAACTCTCAAAACTAACCTACTGCCTGAGAATGTGCAAGGAGGTTCTGTCAAACAAAGAATCAAATCTTTTGAAAACAAATCAAGTCCATCAATGGAGAAAACCACAGTCAATCAGCAAGTCGCCCCTAGTCATACAACCACTACAAACACAGAAAACTACAATAGTTTAGCTCAGAATAATATAGATGAAATAAAGCCTCTCTCAAATAGTTACTGTTCTGAAACGATTCCACAAACAAGTAAGATCTCAACAGAAATGCCACCAGGCAGTGAAGTGGAAAATAAATCAAGTTCAATCAAAATCTCACTTCAAAAAGCAACACCTTCCAATACGCTTTCAATGGAGCTACCACCACCACCACCTGCTGAAAACACAGAGCTATCCAACAATGAATATTGTGTGATGGATGCATCCTCAGTGGTCAGCAGCCCATTATACAGGTTATCATCAATGAGCAGTCAAATGACAGATAATCATCCATCACCCATCAGTCCTAAATCTGACAAGGCCGTTTCACCTACAGACCACACAATGGAAATGACAACATCAATTCAGACTGACATTCCTTCCACACAGGGGGAAGCACCATTACCAAGAACTCCATCTATTAAAAGGGCCCCTTTGGTCAGTAATCTGTCCCTTGACAGGAAAATGTCTCTCAGAAAGGCTCATCTGGATAAATATACATTATGTAGTGATGCCACTTCAGAGACAACCACATCAACTACTCCCATCAACATAGTGGCTGATAATGTGTTGCCAAAAAGCAACTGTCCAACAGGGACACAACAGCCCAGGGAAATGCCGCCAGAAGAAAGACAGCAATCAAACAGCATGTTAGATTTGAAATATAGTCTGTCATGTTGTACTTCTCCTACTCCTGCTAGTTTAACATCTGAAGAGAGAATGTCATCAGCCAGTATTCCATCAAGTGAGGCTCCAACACCGAGTGATCTTTCATTTAAAGAGACAAAAACAAATGAAACAGCACTTTTAACTCAAAAAGAGGCATCATCACCCAAACCCTTGGTGAAAAAGGTAAAAATTATGAGCAGTCCATCTCCAGAGAGAAAACCCCAACCGAAGAAATTCTCTTCTGAGCTTCCTCATTACTCTCCAAAATTATCAGCAATACATAATCACCCTCCAGATAAAACTGTGTCACCAAATATTGGAATACAAAAACATGCAACAGCAAATGCTAGCCCCTCCACTGAGAGAAAGCACACACTTTACAAACCTAAATTTCAAAAGAGACATTCTCCATATTCTCAGTCTCTGGACATGGTGTCACCGCCTGTCAGACGCAAGTCAAATAGAAAGTTGCTCTCTAGTAATATCTCCTCAGGCTCAGACAATTCATCAGAGCCGATAACTAAGACACAAAGGAACACATCATCTGAAACAAAGCATCTACAAACACCACAGTCAATAAAACCAGCAACTGAACTGGACAAGCCACTAACTTCTCACACTCTTATGCCATTGGAAGCTGAACAGAGTGATGACAATAAGGTGAATAAGACAGATGACCTTATAACAGCAGGTCAAGACAAATCCATGACAGAAACACAAATAATGCCACAGCCATTAACAATCGCAAATCAGCCAAACATGAAACCCGTGCTTGAGGAGATTTGCTACTCAATAAAGTCAATTAGACAAATTACACAGAACAAACGTCCATCATGTCTAGAAAGGTCCAACAGCCTGCCTGACTTCTCTTCTCATGTGGCCTCTACATTTGGCTCATCATCTAAAGCTCTCCTTGCTTTCTTGTCCGTCATGACCCTAAAGGAAGGCATAACTAACCAAAATATGGATGAGCTGAATGCAAACAATGTCAGCTGCGCTGAAGCTTTAAAAATGATTGATTCTCTCAGAGAAATTGCAAGCATTGAGGATTCCCACAAGTTAAAAGTTAGTTTGTCAAATTTACAGAAGTCAGCTTCAAAGCAGCTCCTTCAAAGTTGGAAGGGCTTTCAGGAACTCAGTGACAAATGTCGAAGCTCAACACCAAAGAGTTCAGAGCAAGGACACATAACCGAGGCAAGTCCTGAAAGCGACTGTGACATTGATGAAAATGTTATTGATGAGATCATGGATAACCTTGACATACCTGATAAGCTCAAGGAGGAATTGGCCTCTCTTTCAGTGGGTGTCAAAAGTGACAATGAGGAAGAGATGTCTGCCAGGATTATTGAGAAAGTGGAACTGTCACCCGAAGATAACGGTAATGCCAAGATATCCCATTTCTCGACAGAAGATGCTGTTAATGGGAGGGATGTCACTCAAGATGAGAAAGCTAATGTTGATGTGAGCTCCATCATTAAAAAATTTACAGACATTTACCAACCAAAACAATCCAGCATGGGTAGTATAACAGAGAAGCACAACCCTAAAGACAAGGACAGCAAATATGGGCAGAATGGTGTGGCCACATGTCCACCAGCTGAACCAAATGATGAACAGATACCTGACAAAAGGCAGCTTTACAGTGCAGTACAGTTGGTAAAAGAGAATGGGGAGGGTATGCACTCATGTAGCGATGCAGGAAGTCCAGAAAGTCAGGGAGAACAAAATCAGCAGCAATGCCACGATGAAGACAAATCAAACATGAATGGAGTGGTCAGCAGCAAGAAAAAACTTGAACAAGACAGTTGTACCTCTGAGGTAAAGGAGCCAGACATGGAAAGTAATCAGCTGCAGATGCATAGTGAGGAAAGCCTGAGTATCCCTGAGAATGAGCATACCCATGATGACGAGTCAGATTTAGAAAAGGAAGGGCAGAACATGTCGAGTGCCAATAAAGATTCAGAGCAGAAAGTAAGCCGTGAACCAAGAGTATCTAGCTCAGAAGCAGGCGAGCAACAAAGTTCAGAAGAGGAACCAGAAGTTGAATGTGAGGGGATACAACAGGAGAATGGAGAAAGTGATGACTTGTCCAACCCTGAAAGTCACTCTGAGGAGGAAGAGGACAAGCAAACAAGTTCCAATTACTATGCCGAACTGAGTGTAAAAGGGAACGAAAGAATATCCAGACCAGATAGTCAAAACAAGTCTTTGTCAGTGGAAGAGCAACCAGAAGTTGAATGTAAGGAACTAGGCAACAAAGAGGCTCTGTCTAACCCTGCAAGTCCATCTAACTCAGAAAAAGAAGAGCAGGGTCAAGCAGGCTGTATCGGACTGAAAGTCAGTATTGACGAAAGCACATGTAACTCAGATGTGGATGAGCCATCTTCAGAGGAAGAACAGCCTGAGGCACAATGTAAAAAACTGAAGGTTATCATAGAGGAAAGCTTGTCTGGCAATACGGAAGAGCAGGAGAGTGCGGAGGAGGAAGAACACCTTGAAGATATCCCAGATCAAACAAAACTACGTAAAGAGTTACAGGCTTTGATAGAAGAGACGGATGAGGACAAGGTCAGCTCAGACGATGAGGACACACATGCTGATAAAATTTGGGATAAGACAAAGAGTCAGGATATTGTAGAGGGAGATCTAAGCAATTTAATAGAAAATCAGGATCCATGCACCAAAAAAGAGAATAGCAGTTTCAGATTTAATACAGATGAGGATAGTGGGAATGACCACAGCAGCTGTGAAGAACATGTAGAGGTAGAGCAACCAAAAGTCGAAGATGAACAGATAAGCAGCTCAGTTGAAGAAGAATTAAGCTACTATGAAAAAGAGTCCTGCTCAGAGGAAGAACATACTGACGTGGACAGATACACAGAAGAGAGCCATACAGAATATCAGGAAGCTCCTGCATTGGAAACACTGTGTAAAGTTACAAAATGTGAAAAGGCTGTGGAAGAACTCAGAAATCAATCTGAAGAAATAATATCCCAATCTATCGCACAGAGAGTAACTCTTCTGAAAAAGCAGGTTGCTGATGCCCAGAAGAAGAAAAATACAACAGAAAGTTCTCTCATGAGGCATTTTTCACCAGGAAATGCTCCTCCTGAGACGGATGTTGAGGATTCACCCTCTGAATTGCCCACATCTGAGTCGGCTCTCAGCAGCCGATCAGCTCCTCAGTCATCATTGTCTTTCAGCTATGATTCCAGTGGTGTTATAACCACAGAGCCTGAGGGCAACAGGGTCAGATCCATCAGGGAAATGTTCCTGGCAAAGAGTGCCTCAGATATCCAGCACGGACACAAACGTTTTCCAAGCCCAAAGATATCAGAGCGGTCCGAGTTAAGAGCAGAGACCTCAGCTAGTGGTGGGTATCAGTCTCAGACTTCAAGTGAGTTGTCTAGCGGCGAAGATGATTCCTCACGCAAATCTATCACTAAAGGCTTTGTGAGAAGAACAATTGAAAGGCTTTATGGCAAGAAAGATTCAAATCATGATGAGGAAGAAAGTGAAAGGCCCCCATCTGCGCAAAAACAGAAAAAGAAAGAAGATTCAAGCATTTTCTCTCCCTTCCACATAGCCCGGTCCAAAGCAGTGTCTGAGCTGTCTTACTTCAATTCCACTAATGCGCTGGGCACCTTAAGTGAAGCAACACGATGCATTGCTTTTAATGCACAAGTCGGGCCTGAAGACAGCATCCCTATTGATAACAGACGTTGGCTCCTTAGAGAGAACACGCTGATTAGAAAGTCTGTTTCAGACCCAGTTGGAATAAACAAAACCTTCACAAACTCTCCTCAAGGCGAAGGAGCGTGTGAGGATACGGAAGAGAAAACCTCATATTCCCATGCAAGCACAAAGTCTGAACTGGAAGACAAGAAGTCATTTTCAAGGAAGTGCACCTACTTTTCTTTGCCCCATGCTAGTGACTCAGACGCATGTCAGGATGACATGAGCACAGTTAGCAAGGGCAGCGCGAATGGTGACAGCGTCACAGATACAAAGGACAATTCAGAGGACACTAAAATGTGGGCAGAGAGGAATGGCGGGCTTCCTGGTCTTGGTGTTACTGACTTTAAAATGATGGATAACAAAGTGCACCCGCTGACTGAACTTCCGCCTGATGGTGAGGTTGTAGTTGCGCAGCCTGGGAGAGGTCAGGGTGTTATGAACAGAAGGCTTCAGGAGCCTGATATGTTGGACTTACTGTACAATTTTTGTGGTCAGAATTGTCCCATCCTGTGAGGGCAATTCTTTTAGCTATATAACACAATCACAAAACAAGGACTAAGGACTTTTTTTGTCTAAATAACTGTACATTGTTGGGCTACAGTATAATATATTGTCTTTGGTGCCTACATTTTGATGTTGCCATAGCCTTGGCATAATACACTATCATATGTCAATCCATTTGAGGTAACTGCCGAATGTGTAACAATGTGTCTCAGATGCACAAGCCAATGGATCAACCTTTCATCAACCTTTATATTTTATTATGTATGTTAAGAGCTTGTGATCGATTTGTCAGTTTATGCTCCTTGTTTATTGTAAAATTAGTGAATGTGTTTTTGTTACATCTTGATTGTGTATTTGCCATGCACACTCCAGAGCAGCTCTTTCTTCTTATAGGTTGCCTGTCAACAGAACAAGTACCCAGAGCATTACTGTAATCTTGTTTTAAAACTCTTAAAACCAATCAAGTCCCCTGCAGATGTCAGGCAACAAGGCCAATCCCCACCGCACTGAGTGAACGGGGTCAGTTTGTGGTCGCAGCTCGTGGTCGCAGCTCAAGGTTAGCAGAGTTCAGGTTAAAAAAATAAACTGATTATGACACAGGTTGTATGCAGATTGTTTAAATTGTCAGTAATTGCTCAATGTGGTGCTCAATTTAACGTAATTTTGTATATTGTCTAAATTGTAAATAAGACATTTGATTTTCACTAAGTAACCATAGAATAACACATATTTATAATAGCCTGACCTTTATAATTAGGATAAATGGTTTTCAATGTGGCAGCTGTAACAATTCTGTTAAAACTGATATGGAAGAATAAAATTGTATTTACAAATGTTGGTTTTCTCTTTTCCTTTGTAATAATGTGTTTCCAGAATAAATTCTGTCCAAATCATCTCCATGGTTCCTGGATTGGATTGAAAATACCAGTGCATTTAGTCTCACAGGGAAAACCAGATGATCGAGACTTATCCTAGTGTCAGTAAAAGTCAAAAGGCCAAGGTGACGGTTGCGTTGAAGATACCTTAGGAAGCTCAACTCAGTTGTTTTCTCCTGCTGATCAGTATCAGATCTCTGAGGAGGAGCGGAGGCCTCTTGTTTTCTCACTCTCCGTCTGAGGAAGTATCCATGTTGTTCTAAGGTTGTTTTGTTTCTCAGAAGTTGCCATCGAGTTGGCCCGTGTTGTGACAGGAGTGTCGAGGAATGCACTAAGAAGGGAGTGTTTACATCTGCAACTACAAAGAGAAAACGTGACAGCCAGAGAATTCCCACATTTGACATCTTTCACATCTCAAACGTGTACATACATTTGCTGTTAATAACTGCAATTTATATATATTTTTTTAGAATTTAACATTATCTAGGTAAAGAATATTTTTATGTAAAACTAAAGCATGGTAAAATCTTCTAAATATGACTGACACACAAATGTTTACAACAACAGTGTCCACTAGATGGCATTAGTGAACAACACAACAATGACTGGAGAGGGTCAATATGTGGTAAAGGGGTCACTAGTAGGTTTACAAGCCTAGCTCAGCACATAATCAATTACTGTGTCTTCCAAGAAAGGAAACCAATGACGCAAAAAAAAGTTTTAAACTGTTTATTATTTAAATAAATATTTACACAACAGCTTCGTATAAATCAAAGTTCTTTTTCTTACACAACACATCTTTCTAAAAGCAACTGTTTAACAAGAAGGAAGGAGAAAATAAGGGATGGATTACAATGATACTGTAAATCTGTGTTGAGAGAGGCAGAGATTCATCTCACCCCCTCCCCCTGTAGATCACTGATTTAACACCTGAGCCTTAAGACCTTGCTCATCTTTCATTATACATTTTGTTATAGTATGCATTAATCTACATGATAATTTGATATACATTTTAATTTGTTGTTACTAAGGAATAGGAGGATGATACTCTACACTAACTCATTAAAAAGCCATAACGTATGGCTAGAAAAAAAGAAAATTAAAACAAATCGGCATCTTAAGTCACACATTATTCATTCAGGCACAAACAAAGCAATAGACAGCCTCGGTGAAATTAAAATACATCACTCATACAGTATAGGCTACAATGCCCTGCTAAATGGTGTACAGTATATGGCTCAGCTTGGAAAACTAAACATTTCAGGCAAGGTGATCTAAGAAAATTAGAGCACACAATTAATGCCCAAGCTACAGTTCTAACCCACATCTCCTCAATAAGACTGCAGGAATGAGTCCCTCTGGTTAAATCACCTGGTTTAGATGAAATGTTGCAATAACTATAATGACAATAAAGACAGTGAAATCATGGGGACTGATGTGGAAAACCTTCGACCTTTAACGCCAAGCAGAGACCTTTGAGCATTATCCATGTTGCTTAAACAACAGTTTGAGACTCTGGCAGCATCACTGTAACTGTAAAGAGATGAGCATGGAAAAAAACCAAAACAATGTACACATAGTTTACCACAGCATTTAAGTGAAAAACATTAAAACAAAAATGAGGACAAAACTCTAAAATAACTTTTATTTAACGCAGTCGGTTGATTTTATGCTTCTCAGGGATTTAAAAGAAACAACGAAAATGCTCTTTGTTTTCTATTGCTGTCAGGTCATGCATGTAAACTCCATACGTCTAATAAAACCAATTGTTTACTTAAAAATTGTATAAAGAAAATACTCTTTTTTTTTCAAAATACTATTCAGGGAGGGATTAAAGGGTGAATTAATAACATTTTTCAACAACACCTTGTTGTTTTCATCCTGAGATTTAAACCAATGTGTGTCCTCTCCAAGGAGTAATTTTACAGTTTTTTTTTTAAATTGTTATGCAAATACAGATTCTGCATCAGACACTGTTTAGTGATAGTGCGTCCTGTTGTTCAGTGAGCATCTTGGTTAAATCCATTGTTACCTTTCCTGAAGACTGTCATACTGCACCCGTTTTGGGCTGGGACGAGTGTGTTCCACTCACAAAGTTATAAACCAAAAACTGAGAAGTGCCAAAATATTTTGTGGCAAAGAGTTTCCCATCAGGAGTGGGGTCGGAGAAAGCGATCTCATCTTTGCTCAGGTATGAACCGTATATGAAGTTGTTCCTGCGCAAGAAAACAAAAACAAAACAAAAAAATCAATGTCAGTTATGTTCAATTTGTTTTGAGATGATATGACATAAAATCTTGGTTGCTTTGAAGACACACTGACCTGAGGCACTCGAGCATGCGCGAGGCGATGCCCTGGCGTCTCATCATGCTGACGACCCAGATGCGGCTGATGCCACAGATGGCTGGCTCCGGCGTTGTGGAGCAGCACCAAGCTCTCTGACGCTCAAACATCACCTTCTCTCCCTCTGAACCGTCTGGTACGGGCTCCTCAATCACCCTGAACCCCTGTGGAGATTCACACGGCTCACTATACTGATGCTGTCTGTTCTTGGTTTGTTTTTACATTAAACTAAAATATATCTGTGAGGACAAATATCTCATGGCTGATATTAGATTGCAGTCTCTTACCTCTTGTATGTGCTCTGCTATAAGGCATCCACCCACTTTCTTGTCATTGGAGATGAAGAGGAAGGTCTTGGTCTGAGAGGGACACTTGGTCTCCACCTGCTGGAAGCCGAGGTCATTGTCCACCATCTCCCTGATCTCCTCAACCTGAGAAACAAACAGTTGCATGACTGGGTAATATGTATTCAGACCTTTGGACAGACTAGATTATGACAGTTTGCCATTTGAATGATATCATATGTGTACCAGACTGCAGTTTATGTTTGCACAATGTTTTACATAAGCTGACTATAAAATTCAGATTTACAGTCGTTTATATGAGTTACTGCATATCACAGACTGTGGCTGTACTGTGATACAAAACGGGACACTAGTCGCCATCGTATTGTCTTTAATTTGATTGCTGATAGTGTTGTCCTCCGTGACTTTAACACCAGTGTAACTTAAATATTTATTAAGCCCAAACTCACCAATTTATCATCTGACAACTTACAACCTCTTTTCTTCAACCCCTGATAAAGGCTCTAAAGCATTAAGTATATTTAGAACAAAAAACAGTGTTTCTTTTACTATTCTAATTTTTCTGAGGGATCATAGCAATTAGTGTACATAACAAAAAAAAATATTTCTTTAGTGGGGCTGCATCAGTGATGTCGTCTTTGGTGTAAAGGTCGTACCTTCTTCAGAGCATATTTGGGATCATCTGGCAGGACAAGAATGATCTTCCCATCAGGATACTCTCCCAGAATCCTCTCTTTTTTCCATCCCTGAAAAAAAAAAGAAGAGAAATAATGGAGCATTTAAGTAAGAGAAAGCAGCATTTTTCCATCTCAATGAAGCATTCGTGTTCTTTATTTGCTATATATGTAGTAACGTAGTAGTAACCTCCTATGTGCTCTACATTACAGTTAAAACTGCAACAGATTGTTCTACTTTTTCTTAATTCATATGGCTGTATAGCTACATTTGACACTTGTTTGCACTATATATAATAGTATATATAATAACTTTATGAGACAAAGTTCTGTTGATTAACTTTAATGGTGTTGAGAATCAGAACAAATCTGTAAGATATGCTTCCGAGCCAATACTGAGGAGGCACCCACTCACACTGACACCTGCAGTATCATCTCTTGCTGAATGTACCACACTGCAGTCGGACTCAAACTCATGGCCATTTATTTGGTATGCATCGAAGTTCATGTTCTTATGTGTCCAAATAAACTAACTAACTCACTCAACTGAACAAAAACTAACCAGGCTACAGTTCAAATGAACTACTCAACACACGCTCGGTGTGAATGCTCGCTCTGTGTATTTTTAGGAAAAGCGTGGAACAATCTGTGTATTGCCCTGATGAGTCAATATTGTGAGACAGTAGGCAGGACAAATAATAGACGTGTAATTTAAGGAAACTTCCTCTCACCACATATTTGACAGCGCTGATGAACTGGTTGTGGAAGAGTAAATGTTGAGATTCATCTTCAGGGTTGGCAGCAGAGTAGAGCATCCCACACACACCGCAGGCCACTGCTCCAAAATGCTTCTGTCCTGCATCCTACGAGACAAAGAAAAAACAGCTTCTTACCACTCCTTACATCGAAATACAGCCTACAGATGGATATAAGGAATTTATTCAGCTAATCCTCAGCGATGTTGAACAGCACAGAAGGCCTCAACCTGCAATGTCTTTACTTGATATACTTCCTCTTTACAACAGCAACTTAAAGTCCGACCTCCAGTTTACTTGCAATACAACATACTGATGATAGTCTGAAGGGCTCGGATGCACAGGATTCCTGACATTTAAAAGGAATTCACTCACAATAATGGTTTGGGTGCCATCTTTGTCAGCATCCTTTAGCTTCTTGACTTCTTTTTGCAGACAGGCATCAGAGAGAGGAGCCCCACCATCTTGTGGCTTTGCTGCTCTGCTATGATACAAACACACATCATATTAGTTCAGGTTTCTATTGACACAAGGAAAAACAAGTCAAATTACTTGAAAAACGGCCATTAGGATGAAACTTCTTACTCTTGACAAGGTTTTTCTGATGTCTTCTCGGCCGCCTTCAATGTGTCTGTCTTAATCCCTGGAGACAGAGCGCTGACTGTAAGAAAAGGTACGACTCTTACACAGTTTTGTACAGGCAGTCAAAGTTGTTTTTGAACACTTTACACTACCTCCATTTTATAACACATAAACACAAATAATAACACAGTGACATGATGAAAATCAAGAACATAAATTAAATTCTTTAACTAGCAACTGTGCCATGATATTCAACAGATTTCTTGATAATTCATAATTGCATTTCTGACATAGTGGAATGTTTTCCTCTTAGATTTCATAATCTTGAAGAGTGAATCAGTCCTGTATTTAGTAATATCACAACATGACAGACGTTTACATAAATCATATGCAAATAAATACATACCTGCAGGCTTTTCTTCACACTGCTGAGTGTCATCAGACACTTTCGAGCTCACTGCAGAGGCAATCGAAGAGGTGGAAGCTGTAAGCGGATCAGCTGCATCCTACATAAGAAAGAGAGAAGGGGTAAGTAACATCTTTAATAACATTGCAGTTTGTGACACATATTATTGCATAATTTGTTTTTAAAGTTACCTTGCATTTGAGGTCTAGTGATGGTGATGGATTTATGGTTTTCTGAGACGTTGAACCAACATTGGCCTTCGGAGCAGCAGGCTTCGTCTCAGATGTGGTTGCACCGGCAGGATGAGATGATGCTGAAGTAGACTGCTTGAGCTGAGCACTTCCACTACCAGTAGGCCTTAACTGAGGTGAAGCAGAAGCAGCTGGTTTGGACTGACCTGGAGCCGGGGAAGCTTTTGACTGAGGTGTCATCAAAACAGGAGGCTTTAACGGAGCTTTAGCTGAAGGAGCAGCTTTGGAAGAGGCAGCGGCAGCAGCTGTGGCCTTTGTCTGCGCTGTTGTTGTAACGGCAGGCTTTGTCTGCGCTGTAGCTGCACCAGTGTGCTTTGACTGACCTGAGATCTGTCCAGCAGGTGTGGTTGGAGCTTTAAGTTTTGCCTGGTTGGAAAGTGGTGATGAAACTGGGAGTTTAGATTGAGCTGAGGGATTTAACTGAACGTTCGGTCGTGCTCCCCTGCGTGGGCCTTGACTGAGGACCGGGTCTTGTCGGAGTCACTGGTAAGGGGTCATCATCTAGCTCAAAGTCATCAAAGGAATACTTGGGTCTGGGTCTGTATGGCTTGTACTCAACAGGCTTCTGTTTCTGAGCATTAAGCCCGTTGGGCATGGGAGGGGGTACGGCTGGGAGGGTCCTCTTGGCTGCTGATCTGGTAACTTTTGGGGCTGGCCCCGGAGAAGGGGTTGCTTTAGGAGTCTGAGCCTTACTTTGCCTTGTAGATTTACGGGTTTCTGTATTGGGAGGCCCAGTTTTGGAGGCTTCAGTTTTGGTAGGTTCGGGTTTAGTGGGTTCGGTTTTGACAGGTTCGGGTTTAGTGGGTTCGGTTTGGGAGGTTTCTGTTTTAGTGGGTTCAGCCTTAGGAGTTTCAACCTTGGGAACTTCTGCTTTCGGTGTTGCAGGCTTGCTAGTTGATGCGGGACTTGGGAGAGGGGATTTAGATGGACTGGCCGCAGTTGGAGGAGCCGTGGTCACGGGACTCATTGAAAATGGAGAGGATGCAGACAGGGGTCCTTGCCAGTCTAGGTCTGAAAACATCTGATTTGCTTGGTCAGATTTAAGTTTCTTTACACGTGCCCAAGACATCTTCTCTCTCTGAAGTTCAACCTGTCTCAGTCTTTGATATCTAGTTAGCTTCTTTTTCTCATGGGCCTTCAGTGGCACTGAAACCTGTGTGATGAAGAAACGCCTCTTTTGGGGCTCTGCAGCAGGCTTTGCCTCGACTGAATCAGCTGTTGAAGGCTGGGCCACAGATGCCTCCTCAGCAGGGGTCACCGAAGCGGAGCACCCTTCTGGTCCAGCAGGAGTAGCAACATTAACAGTGTCGGCATCCTTCGTGTTAACAGGTGGACTTTCCTTCTTGCTGGCTTCGCTCTTGGCTGCCGCCTCTGCTGCTGCAGTTGCTGCTGCTGCTGCTGCAGCCGCCGCCGCCACCGCCGCTGCTTGTTTTTCTTCCTCTATCCTCTTCAGCAACATGCTATCTGTGGCAATGTCCTCTGCGATTTCCTGACACAGGGCTAACAGGTTCAGCTGCTGTCTGTTTGCTGTTCTCTTAGACGCTGCAGCCTTTTGCTCAGCCAGAGCTGCCAGACGGGCTTTGGTTCTGGCCTGCGTGTTCATTTCTTGTTTCTTGGGTTTTTCTGCTTGCTGTCCTTTTTTATCATCTCCAGCCTTTTCGGCTGAGTTGTTTTGGTTCAAGCTGGTCCCACAAGTGTCATCTTTATTTTTCTCATTAACCTTTTCCTCTGAGGTTTCAGGAGGGACTGCCTCAGGCGTTTCCTGTGGTTTTTCTATTATGGTAATGTCACTATCTTCATCATTCTCTTCCTCCGCTACAACAATCTCACGACCTATCTCTATATCCTCCAGAATCTGCACTTCTGGTAGGTCCAAGTTTCCCTCTGCGTTCTCTACCGCCAGTGCATTACAGTCTTCATTTATGACTTGAACATGAGAGCTTACCATATCAGTCTCTGAGGTATTAACATCCATCATGTCAGATGATGGCTGCTGACAATGGTCAGAATTTTGGATAACTTCAACACTTTCCACAGCTGAAATTTCTGTCTCAAGCCTGGTCCCCTGATCTAATCCCTCACTTGAATTGGTCACTGTAGCATCTTTGACCTCGCCGGTTGTCTGACATTGCTGCACTTCTGCCTCAGTGAACGCGGCTTGTTGGGAACTGTTTAAAATCCTTTGATTTTCCACTTCACCTGCCAGTGCACTGTCTGGATTCACCTGCTCTGAAAGCGAGACCGACAACCCTGATTCGGCTGCTGCTTGAGTGACAATATCAAAGTGAATTTCACTCTGTGGGACCGGTTCCAAGATCACAAACTCCTCAGATGTACTATCTGGTATTTCAACTTCACTGGTGGCTGTAGTTGTTGTCACGGTGACATCTGCGACCTCCTGAAGCCCAGTGTCCTCCTGCACCTGTTCGGAAAACTCTGTGGCACTGACGCAGTCTGGATACCCATTACTTTCACTTTTTTCTGTCACATCTTCTGACTGGCCATCTGGCGTGCTGATGTCATCGCTAGAGCTGATCACAGCAACTTGTTTCACATCCACACTCTGCTCCAACTGTGCAGAGACACAACTATCTGGCACACTGATGGTTTGTACTTCCATTTCAACTCCTTGGCTGTCTGAGACACTAATTTGTTGTTCAACACTTTCCTCTTTTTCCAGCTGTTGGTTACAAATTTCTCTGTTTTCTTCATTAGTAGATGAATCTCCTTCCATCTGCTGGCTCTCCGGGTTCTGCAGGTCTAATAAAGACACACCATCGTGGTCCAGTGCTGCTGTAGAAATATCTCTATCATCACTACTCTCTGGACTACTAATAGGCTCATACACTACCTGGTGTTCAGGAATCTCAACCTCTGACTGATTAACCGTCTTAATCTGCTCCTCTGAAGCCTGAATTACAATATCAATGTCATCTGGTTGGCCGCAAACAAAAACTATTACTTCATTGCTTCCAGTTCCTTCTCTTTGTCCAATATTACTGACCGTTTTGTCAGCCTTATCAGATGTGATTGAAATGATTGCAACTTCTTCTTCGACCTCATTCATCACTTGCCTCCCAGTTTCCTCTTCTAATGCAGAATCTGCCCTTTCTATTGATCCACTTATTACATCCATATCCGCTTGAATATGCTCTGCACTATGCTCCGTCTGCTTGTTTTCATTATCCTTACTTTCGGAATTAGCCATTGGAAGAGGTTTGTGGATTTCATTTGATAAGGCCATACGGGGTGCATTGACTTCCCCCATCCCTTGGTTTTGCTGTTCGGTTGTAGGGGCCGCATTAGAAATCTCTTCTGCCGTTATTGTAGTTTCCATATTTATCTGAACCTCTGGAACATCAACACATTCAGCAGTGTGCTTGTCTTCATCGTCCTTACTCTCACAACTTGCAGTCACAAGATCTTTTTGAACTCCTGTGTTGAGTTCACTGACCTCCAGGCTCCCCGGGCTTTGTATTTCCACTGTAGATGGTGGACTAGAAACTTCCTCTGGTGTTGTTGTTGTTTGCACATCCATTTCTACTTGATTCTCAGTAGCACCCACACATGTTGCGCTACCCTCGTCCTTGTTTTCTTCACTCTCATTATTGGCAATGCTAAAATCTTTCTGTACTTCAATGTCTGCAGTGAGTCCATTGATCTCCTGACCTCTCTGGTTTTGTGTTTCTACTGTTGTTGTTGGATCAGAAATCTCCTCTGGTGTTGCCTCCATCTGCAAATCCATTTCTCTTTTATTCTCAGTTGCACTCACACATTCAGTGACATTTCCATTATTCTCAAGAGTCTGAATCATTAGATCTTCTTGTACTTTTTCAGATATGTCTGTTGCAGGTTCAGTGACTTCTTGGCTCTTCTGGACCTGTGTTTCTACTGTAGGTGCAATGTTAGAAATCTCCTCTGGCGTTGTCGTCTGCATGTCCACTTCAACCCTGCTCTGACAATTTGCAACCAGATGTGTCTGTACTTTATGGGATATGTCTGTGGTGCGTTCACTGGCTTCTGGGCACTCCTGGCTTTGTACTTCCATTGTAGAAGCAGGATGAGAAATCTCTGATGCCACTGTAGTGTGCCCCTCACGTCCACTAGTACATTCAAAGTCCACCTCGTCTTCATTTTCAATCGTTACATCTTGATGAGCGTCAGTAGATATGTCTGTGGTAAGTTCACTGACTTCCTGGCTGCTGTGGCTTTTCACTGTAGGTGCTGGGTTAGAAATCTCTAATGTCAGTGTCTGCATTTCCACTTTGTTCTGACTCTCTGGTCCACTCGCGTTCACCTCGTCTTCATTTTCCATGATTTTAGAATTTACCACACCATCGTCATTAAATTGTGTAGATATGTCTGAAACATGTTCACTCACTTCTTGGCTTTGTATTTCCACTGCAACGCCGTGATTAGAAATCTCCTGCTGTTCATCTCCTGACATTGCTGAAGCCTGTCTATCCACTTTGATTGCAGTGGCACATTCAAAGTTCGTCCCCTCTTCTTTTTCTATACTTGAAGGAATTTCTTTGACTTCAACAGGCATTACTGTAGTGTGGTCATTTACTTTGTGGTTCTCCTGGTTTTGCGTATCCTCTTTAGGTGCTGAGTCAGACCTCTCCTCTGATGTTATTTTAGTCTGCATGTCCATGTCTACCTCACCCTCTGAGACTGTGACACTATCAGAGAGCACCTCTCTTTGATTTTGCTCATGAACAGCCTCACGATCTGGCGTCAGTATTTCAGTACAGCTGTCAGTCGTCTTGTCTGTCACCTCTCGGCTCAGCTGTAGCTCTGCTAAAGGGCCAGGACCAGCGACATTCTGGGTTGACAGGAACTCGACATCTTTCTTTTCACTTTCTTCAAGCTTTACTTCAGACTTCCTGGCGAGTTTGTTCACACCGTCACAGGAGTTGGTAATTGTATCTTGCACTTCATGGCTCACTCGATCCTGCAGGTGTTCAGATTTCGATTGCTCTTTGAAGGTAACTTGAATTTTGAAACTGAGGTCTGTTTGAGTTTCTGGATTGCCAACAGACTCGGTTGCTGTTATGTTTTCCTCAGTCTGAATCTCTGGATTACTGTCCGCTACCAGGATCTCTTCTGGTGCAGAGTTTGTTTGGTTTGGCAATGCTTTATCTTCTATACCTACATCGCTACGGCCTGCGGAGATACCGGCTGCTTCAATCACTCCCTGCACTTTATGCTCTCCTTCCACACCTTTACATTTTATATCCAGCTTTATCTCCTCAGAAACAGACGCTGGGGTCTCCTTTGTTTCAATTTTACTGCTCACATCTGTCTGACTTCTACGAGTTGAGTCTGTCCTTTCATCTGTCTGTGCTTCACCTTCGGAGCCTGGATTTAGCTCTCCAGAATGAGAATATAGTGTTTCCATTGACAAAGCTAGTGTCTCATTATCTACATCCTTTTGGCTTTTGATGAACTCTGCAGCGTCCTTCTTTTCATTTTCTGCCTCAGATGTGATGCAAGGTGTATCTGAAGCTGTTGCAGCACAGTCTAAAATTTCTCTGCGTGATGCTAATGCTTCATTATCTAAGAGCTTTTGGCTTTCTACATTTTTAAATTCCCCCTGTTTACTGTCATCAGCTGCAAATTCGTTGCTAGCATTTGCACTCCCTGGGTCAGAGACTAAAGTCTCCTTCGAGTCTGCTTGTGTTGCATCAAGCGAAATTTCTGGTCTCTCTTGTTCAGTGACAGATTCGGCTTTATCGTCCTGATTAGCATCACTCAAGCTTTGAATACTTGACGAATCTGAAAATCTACCATAATTGTGGTCCATCTGAACAGGATCTGTAAGTGCAGACGGGGATCCTTGGCTCATCTCCTGGGGGTCCGAAGACGACTCCTCAGCCTTGCGCTTAGCCTTGACTCGATTTGAATATTTTCTGATGCAGCGGGCCTTGTCGCCGTCGCCCCTCTCTCTAAAGAGGTCAGTCTTACCACCATCACTGCTCAACTCATCCTCGGACTCCGTGGAGGCCGTTCGCTTCAGGGAAGATTTGGAGTTAGCTATCTGCGAGGGAGCTTCTCCGCAGGAGGCACTTGTGGCTTTCAGGAGCTTGGCTTTGTTGACAGGTGGGTCAGAAATGGTTTTGCTGGAATCCTTTGGAGGAGAACTCTGTTTGGATGACTTGGCTGGTTTATTTCCCCCTTCCACCGAGGCAGACAACTTTTTCTTAGTCCGCGGGGCTGCTGTATTTTCTCGCGTATTTCCTGTTTTAAGGGACCTATTATTGGCAGCTGGTGCAGTTTTGGATGGCAGAGCCTCCCCATCCTCATCCAACTTCCTCATCTTGGGCTGAGAATCATGAGGAGCTGGTCCTCTCTTTGGGGCTGGCATTCTGTACAACATACAAAACACACACACACACACAAAAAAAAATAGAGTTATCACAGCAAGTAATAAACAAATAAAAAGACAGAACAACCGCAACTTAATCTTTAAATTACTACTTAATAAAGTTGGCTACGAGTAACAACCCTCCCTGCAGTTATCTCTTTTCCTCGTAGGTGTAGTAATGTGACCACACATCCAAACGACAAGACAAATAACATATCCACTAAGTAAATTAGTACGAACTACAACTCTTGCCTGCTTCCCCCCCCCTCCTCTAACTAATAAGCAACAAGGCTGGCTAACGCTTGGACACAAACAGGGACAAATCGCAGTTAAACTCGGCGGCTAGCGAGTCACACAATGTACGATCCGACATCCACTCACTCATTCGCCGTCTACATAAACGACCTTAAAGGCTGCCTCGGCGGCGGACGGAGGTTGTTGTCACCAGGAGTTGTGCGGACAGAAACAACAAACGGTCAGTTAGCTAGCTTTCTCACACACACACACACATACACACACACACACACATATATACACACACACAGATACACACTGTGGCTATGTGCTAACAGCTAGCAGCAGCCAACTCGCAACAACTGAGCGAGCCGAGAGTCTCTCGTTGTCAGCGGAAACAGCAGCCAGGCAACCGGAGCGCGGAGAGAAGAGAGGAAGGGTAAAGGTGGAGACGGTCGTCAGTGTAACTCACTTTGATGTTTTCTTTTTCAACAACAGCTGTTTTATTTTTTTTTTTTTGTTTTTTTTTTTTTTTTTTCCTCTCTCTCTCTCTCTGTGTGAATAAAAATTAACTGTACTTCCGGAGAGAGACGGCGGATGTGACGTGGCAAGCCCTCGAGTCACACGCTGAGAAATCGAGATTTGTTAAGTTTTGTGGTTTTTTATTTATTTATTTATTTATTTATTTATGGGAGCTTATTTGACACAGCTTTCTCAAAATATAACTTATATTTATATAACAAAAGTTTCTTAATTTATTATCTCGTTATTTTTTTGAGATTCTAAGTCAAAATATCGAGAAAACTTCTAATTATTCTGAGATACTTGAGATGCTGAGTCATTATTTTAAGATGCTATGTCATTATTTTAAGCTGCTTAGTCATTATTTTAAGATACTAAGTCATTATTTTAAGATGCTAAGTCATTATTTTAAGCTGCTTAGTCATTAATTTAAGATGCTAAGTCATTATTTTAAGATGCTAAGTCATTATTTTGAGATGCTAAGTCATTATTTTGAGATGCTTAGTCATTAATTTAAGATACTAAGTCATTTTTTTGAGATACTAAGTCATTATTTTGAGATGCTAAGTCAATATCCTGAGAAATTTTCTCATGATTTTGGGATCAAAAAGTCAAAATATTAACAACGTTTCTCATTATTCTGAGATAAGTCATTATTTTGAGATGCTTAGTCATTATTTTGAAATGCTTAGTCATTATTTTGAGATGCTTAGTCATCATTTTGAGATGCTTAGTCGTTATTTTGAGATGCTAAGTCATTGTTTTGGGATGCTTAGTCATTATTTTGAGATGCTAAGTCAAAATATTAAGAAAGTTTCTCATTGATTTGAGATGCTAAGTCAATATTCATATTCATACCATTATTTTGGGATACTAAGTCAAAATATTGAGTTTTTCATTATTTCGAGGTGTTAAGTCATCATTTTGAAATGCTGAGTCAGAAATACTTTATTGATACCGTTGGAAATCTGTTGAAATTTGTCAAAATATTGATAAAAGCTTCTCATTATAATGATTTACACATTTTATTTTTTCTGCCACATTGGTGGAAATGGGTTTTCATATTAGGGGTATTTTACTTTATTTATTTATCAGAGACAAACAAAACACACTAATGGTTGTAATGTAAATGTGCCAGATTTAAACTAAGTTAAAAGTGACTAATAACCAATATACAGACTAAAAGGCAAAACACAGACTGCATGTAAAATATATTTTGAATAAACAACCTTCTTTACGTTTTTCATTTAATATTTTGTGTGATTATGACAAACACATTTACAAAATACTTTAACTTTACACGTTTTTAATTCTACATACACACCATAAGGAAATGAATATAAAAGCTCAGTGAAGACCAAGAGGTCATTAAACTTTTACCTTTTCTAAGATTAAAATGGCTCTGATGAATAGAAACACTCTCTGGTATGTTTCCACTGATTTAAATGAGTACATTACAGTGCAGATGCCAGGAAGTCTCCAAGACTCCATACATCAAATATAATATAGTGTCAGCTCAACAACAACCCTCCCATTAGCCGATATATACCCACCACACTGCCAAAGCTTACACAGAGTTGAGTGTATGGCTCTTCTCCATTTTCCAACACACGTATCAAGAAACTGAGACACTCCAAGGTCTTCTAACCTGAGCGACAGTCTGAATTGTCTCACGATGCCCCTCTTGAGTCATTCAACAGATGATTTAACAGTGATTCAGCAGTTTCAGATACACATTTCACTACTTTTTAAACAACTTCTGAGCAGGCTTTTAAATAAATTCTTCTTTAATTGATTGATTTGACAGGATGGTCTTTAAAGTGGGTTATAGAGAAGATATGCATAATTATCACACACAAACCACGAGCAGTTTTTATGCGATTTTATTTTTCAAACGTTGCAGACATTTCATCACCAAATCACATTAGCGGAACAAGTACAGCACTTTATAGTTGTTAGATGTAAATATACAGAGATAATCCAATGGAAATGTTTTGCATTTTTGCTCGTGTACAGTTTACTGACCGCGGGGAAAGTGATATTCATTGATCAATGCACTGACAGCAAAGGGAAAGCAACAGTGGGGAGGGGAGGGGAAGCTTCAGTAATAACATTGTGAGTGCAAACATTAGCGTTACTTTTTCATCTCCAGGATTCCACTTCCTGGTCCGCGCCGCTTCGCACTGCAGATGTTACAAAACTGAACCCCGGGAATCTGAAACGGGAAGGAGGGAAAAGATAGAGGAGTCTCAACGTATGAGTTAAAATAGAATAGAGACTGGAGAAACATGACACAGACTACAGGGAGGTTTTCTTACTGTTCCTGAAGATGGTAAACATTCCTTGTGAAACATGTGTCTGCAGTGAAACACCACCACGCTGAAGGGTTTGGCCATGTCTGAAACACAGGCGTGACGAATTTATAGCTTTCAAATGCAAAACAGAGTTAAAATACTTGCATACAACTGCATAGAAAACCCACCTGATGGTAAAATTGTGGCATGACACGATTCGCAAATGTTCTCCTCTGAAAAGAAAACCAACATAAGTTACAGTGGTCTTGTATAATTACAGTTTAAAAATGACTTCTCCGTTGCTTCTGCTTCATGAACGCAAAGAAAAGTGTACCTACCGTCGACCCGGACTCCTTTCATCTGTGTTCGGTGCATCTTCTGGAGCAGAGAGAGGGAGTCGGCCACCAGGATCTTCTTACATCCTTCCCTCAAAAGAATCTTAGAAGCAGGAAAACAAAGAGTTGGTTAATAAAGAAAACAACATGATGAATAGCTCTTAAATTAAGTTCAATGTCTCATTATTTCCCCTGCTTAAATCACCCTAATTATTTCTAAATGGAGCTACAGAGGTTATACAATCCACACATGAATAGCGAAATTAGGTTACATAGCAAAATCATTGCTCCCCCAGTATGAAAAAATATATTTGACCCTTTTATTATACTTGTGTATTAAAGGACCAATGTGTAGGATTCAGTCTTCTAAATGTGTAGGAGAAACTACGGTGGCTGCGAAAACTCACAAACGTTCCCCATCTAAGACCAGTGTTTAGTTTGTCTGTTCTGGGCTACTGTAACATGGCAGATTTGCCATTTTCCCACTCCCTCGGTAGATAAAAACGACTCATTTAAGGTAACAAAAACACAATGATTCTTATATTCAGGTGACTACAGATCCCCAACGGCCGTCACTCTGACAAACAATTAACTCCAGACACACAGTGTCAGGAACAATCCCTGTGCAATAACCCTGGGACTCTAACATCTACTGCACCTGTAAACTATTTATTAATTTTCTTCATTGTTGAAATTCTATAATTCAAACACATCTACCCATACTGGGGCTGGCTATATATACACTGTCATATCCACCTACCTCATGTATATAACTGTATAACTGTATAACTATATAAATGTGTAACTATACATAGGACAACAAACCCAACAAAATAGACATTAACTTCTGTTTGTTTATGCTGTTAGTCTGTGTATGTACATTGAGAGAGTCAGATCCCTTGTATGTGTGCACATACCTGGCCAATAAAAGTGATGTTTCTGATTCTATACACTAATTGAAACATACCAATGAATATTATCTTCAATTTCTGCCAATAGTTCATCCTAAATGTTACACACTTGACCTTTAATACAGTGAGAAATGTTCAGTAAACTCCATTCCTTCAAAAGAAAGCCTTTAAATCTTTTGCTCCACTTACACTGAACCTGCAGCAGCAGGATACAGAACAGAATCATTGATTTCAAAGTATTAATGCAACCCCCAACTGACTGTACTGTTACCTAAGTCGAACAAGAGAAACTCTTTAAACTGATTTTATTCCTTCATCATAGAAGACTTCAAGTGTAAAAAAAAAAAGTAAGATAATCTTAGTGAAACATATCTAACCTGTAGATTGTAGTCCTGGAGGATTTTTACAAGTGAATCTCTGAGGTTTGGGATCTCCATGCCCTCTTTAATGCGATGGATGAGCAGGATCGGATCCACATGGGTACCAATGTTATTAAGGAGGCCAGTGATGAATGCTGGGGACCCAACAGTAGACAGACAGAAACAAAGGGATAATATGAAAGTGAGAATATGACAAAGACAGACAGAATCAAATGAAGGACAAGCAGAGGATTAGAAAAACAAGTCAATAGGAGGCTGAATCATACGTGGTTTGTCAATAGAGTAAGAGATGAGATCCTCCCAGAGCTCTGCATCGTCCTGTTCTTTGGCAAACTCTATGGCCTTGTCCACGTCCTCCAGCTCCTCCATGATCATCTGCAGAGCTCGTCTGCAGTTCCCCATCCTGCCTGGGGGGACACACTAGCTGGATTAGTTTGCTTTTAATCATTTAAAGCACGCTTAAAAGTAGGAAAACAGACCTTAACTAACAACTTACTGAGCAGGAAGACAGTCTCCTCTACAAAGTTCCTCTGCTGACAAACCTCAAGAGCCTGAGAGGAAAAGACAGAAAAGTCTTGTAGCTTCTGGAAACTTGGATGTGCGGTAGGATGACATGTAAGAATTGTACCTTTTCGAGAGGGCAGTGCGTGCTGTCTCTCAGGAAAGGTAAGAGATTCGGCCGGTCATATTCGGCATACAGGACAATCTGTCTCTCGTGGTATTTCTGGCCTTTGTGGTGGTCCCGTTTGAACAATTTATGGAGGTACTGTGGGGAAAAAGGATGAGTCAAATCACTTCTGAATTCAATTTTGAGAGTTAATGTGATTTATATTTAAAGTTACACATATCTTAACTCACCACATGCAGAAGCTCGGGCCTGTCTGCTAATTCTTCCACCACCCTGTCCGTCTGTGAGCACAGAGAAGAGAACCAGGATCAGCGGGCAGGAGGTTTTAATCAGATCTTTTAATGAAAAACTAACAGACGTGAGGTGCACTTACTGATAACTTGTCTTCATTGTCGAGCAGCATGTCAACAGCTTTCTGACAAGGTAAATTTAAAGTAAATGTCAGTCAAACGGGGAAAACAAATCGGATTACGATGCTGCTGGTCTTTCTTTGATTGTCTTTCTTAAAAAA